CGATCTCCTCCTTCCCCCATTTTTCCCATTTTCCCCCTTTTTTCCCCAATTTCCCCCTTTCCCCTCCCCTTTCCCTCCATTTCCCCCCTATTTTTTCCCAATTTTCCCCAAATTTTCCCCTAAAATTCTCTGGATTGTCTCCCCCAGCATTCCCAGAATTCCTCAAATCCCATTTTTCCTCTTTTTTCCCCATTTCCTCCCTTCCCTCCCTTTCCCCCCCCTTTTTTTCTTCCATTTTTCCCAATTTCCCCCATTTTTCCTCAATTTTCCCCCCATTTTTACCAATTTCCCCCATTTTTCCTCCATTTTTCCCAATTCCCCCATTTTTCCCAATTTCCCCCATTTTTTTCTCAATTTATACCATTTTCCCCCACTTTTTCCTCAATTTTCCCCAATTTCCCCCACTTTTTCCTCAATTTTCCCTCCATTTTTCCCAATTTTTTCCAATTTCCCCCATTTTTCCTCCAATTTTCCCAATTTTTCCCATTTTCCCTCCATTTTTCCCAATTTTCCCCATTTTCCCTCCATTTTTCCCAATTTTCCCCATTTTCCCTCCATTTTTCCCAATTTTCCCCATTTTCCCTCCATTTTTCCCAATTTTCCCCATTTTTCCTCCATTTTCCCCAATTTCCCCCATTTATTCCCCATTTTCCCCTCAATTTTCCCTCAAGTTTTCCCAATTTTCCCCATTTTTCCCAATTTTCCCCATTTTTCCCAATTTTTCCCTATTTCCCCCCATTTTCCCCCATTTCTCTTCCCGTTTTTCCCTTTTTTCCCCATTTTCCCCCAAAGTTTTTCCCCATTTTTTCCCCAATTTTCCCCATTTTCCCCATTTATTTATTTCTTTTTCAGGACCTCCTGGAATCCCCCACCCCAAACCCCCAAAAAGCCACTCGGAGTTGAAATTAAATTAAAAATTAATTAAAATTAAAATTAAATTAAATCCCCTTTGGGACTGGCAGGCTCGGGGGGATCCGAAATTCCCCGGGAATTCCCGAGGGGGCGTCCGTGGACGAGGAGCTTTAAAAAAATATCTTTGAAACTTTGAAACCATCTGAGCTTAAAAAGAGACGAGAGCGACGCTCCCGGGGCCAGCCGGGCCCGCGGGGGGCCCCGGAACGTTCTGGAAGCCTCGGCTGGGGCCACGAGGGTCCTGGAGAGGTTCCGGAGGTCCTGGAGAGGATCCAGAGGGGTCCTTGGAGAGGTTCTGGAGGTCCTGGAACGTTCTGGAAGCCTCGGCTGCGGCCACGGGGGTCCCAGAGCGGTTCTGCAGAAGTTCCGGAGGTCCTGGAGAGGTTCTGGAGAAGTTCTGGATGGTTCTGGAGGTCCTGGAGAAGTTCTGGAGGTGATCCAGAGGGGTCCTGGAGCTGTTCTGGAGGTCCTGGAACGTTCTGGAAGCCTCGGCTGCGGCCACAGGGGTCCCAGAGCGGTTCTGGAGGTCCTGGAGAAGTTCTGGAGGAGTTCCGGAGGTCCTGGAGCCGTTCTGGAGGAGTTCTGGAGGTCCTGGAGCGGTTCCGGAGGTCCTATAGAAGTTCTGGAGGTCCTGGAGGGGATCCAGAACGTTCCTCAGAGCGGTTCTGGAGAAGTTCTGGAGGTCCTGGATGGTTCTGGAGGGGATCCACAGGGGTCCTGGAGCGGTTCCGGAGGTCCTGGAGGGGTCCTGGAGAGGTTCTGGAGAAGTTCTGGAGGTCCTGGAGAGGTTCTGGAGGTTCTGGAGAAGTTCTGGAGGTCCTGGAGAGGTTCTGGAGGTTCTGGAGAAGTTCTGGAGGTCCTGGAGAGGTTCTGGAGGTCCTGGATGGTTCTGGAGGGGATCCAGAGGGGTTCTCGGAGCCGTTCTGGAGGTTCTGGAGGAGTTCTGGAGGAGTTCCGGTGGTCCTGTAGAGGTTCTGGAGAGGTTCTGGAGGTCCTGAAGAAGTTCTAGAAGTTCTGGAGGTCCTGGAGCCGTTCTGGAGGTTCTGGAGTAGTTCCAGAGGTTCTGGAGAGGTTCTGGAGAAGTTCTGCAGGTTCTGGAGGGGATCCAGAGGGGTTCTCAGAGCCGTTCTGGAGCAGTTCCAAAGGTTCTGGAAGCCTTGGAATGGATCCAGAGGGGTCCTTGGAGCAGTCCCAGAGGTTCTGGAGAAGTTCTGGATGGTTCTGGAGACGTTCCGGATGGTTCTGGAGGGGTTGGAATTGATCCAGAGGTGTCCTTGGAGCAATTCCAGAGATCCTGGAGATGTTCTGGAGCTCTTGGAGAGGTTCTGGCCCTCCAGGATCAATGTGGGACCTCCAGGATCAATTCTGGATGTCCTGGAGATGTTCTGGATCGAGTCAAGATCTCCTGGATCAATTCAGGATCAATTCTGCATCTTCTGGGTCAATTCTGGATCTCACTGAGAGGTTCTGCACCTCCAGGATCAATCCTGGATCTCTTGGATCAATTCTGCACCTCCAGGATCAATCCTGGATCGATTCTGGATTGCCTAGATCCATTCTGGATCAATTCTGGATATCCTGGGCAAGTTCTGAACCTCCAGGATCAATTCTGGACCTCCAGAATAAATTCTGGATCAATTCTGGATCTTCTGGAGATGTTCTGGACCTCCAGGATCAATTCTGGACCTCCAGGATCCATTCTTAACCAGTTCTGAACCTCCAGGATCAGTTCTGGATCAACTTTGGATGTCCTGGAGAGGTTCTGGATCTCCAGGATCAATTCTGGATCTCCTGGACATGTTCTGAACCTCCAGGATCAATTCTGAATTTCCCAGAGAGGTTCTGAACATCCAGGACCAGTTCTGAACCTTCTGGATCAATTCTGGATCTCCTGGAGATGTTTTGGACCTCCAGGATCAATTCTGGACCTCCAGGATCAAGTATGGATGTCCTGGAGATGTTCTGAACCTCCAGGATCAATTCTGGATCAATTCTGAACCTCCAGGATCAATTCTGGACCTCCAGGACCAGTTCTGAACCTCTAGGATCAATCCTGGAGGTCCTGGAGATGTTCTGGACCTCCAGGATCAATTCTGGACCTCCAGGATCAATCCTCCAGGATCCATTCTGGACCAGTCCTGAACCTCCAGGATCAATTCTGAATTTCCCAGAGAGGTTCTGAACCTCCAGGATCAATTCTGGACCTCCAGGATCAATTCTGGATCTCCTGGACATGTTCTGAACCTCCAGGACCAGTTCTGCACCTCCAGGATCAGTTCTGTACCTCAGGGATCAATTCTGGACCTCCAGGATCAATTCTGGATCTCCTGGAGATGTTCTGGACCTCCAGGACCAGTTCTGGACCAATTCTGGACCTCCAGGATAAATTCTGGATCTCCTGGAGAGGTTCTGAACCTCCAGGATCAGTTCTGCACCTCAGGGATCAATTCTGGATCTCCAGGATCCATTCTGGACCAATTCTGGATCTCCTGGAGATGTTCTGGACCTCCAGGACCAGTTCTGCACCTCCAGACCCGACCTCACCCCACCTCCCCCATCACGACCCCACCTCGGCCCCTTCCCCTTTGTCCCCCTCCCAGTCCCCGGCCCTCCCCTTGCCCGCGCTTCCGGAACATTCCAGCTGCTCCAGCTTGGAGCTGGAGGTGCCCGCGGAGCCGCCCTGGGAGCCGTTGGTCTGCGAGCACACGTGGGCCTTGCCCTTGGCCTTGGGCTGGTTGTTGTGGATCTTGTACTTCATCAGGAGGATGAAGATGAACACCAGCACCGAGGCCACGATGATGCCGCCGATGACGATGATCATGGTGCCGCCCAGGAACTGCGCCTGCAGCGAGCGGCACGGCCGCGGCGGCGCCCGCGTCGAGAAGCGCTGGCACACAGCTCGGAGTCCCGGCCCGGCGCCAGCTCCGACAGCGAGAACGACGCGCTGGGGGCCGGGATCATCCTGCAAGGACAACAGGAACGGAGTTGGCCATGGATTCCCCCTTCTTTGGGGATTTTTCCACATTTTTTCCCATTTTTCCCACATTCTTTCCATGTTTTTCCACATTTTTTCCACGTTTTTCAGCCATTTTTCCATGGTTTTTGACCATTTTCTCCCTATTTTTCCGATACTTTCTCATCCCTACCTGCCAGTTCTCCAACAGCTCTTCCATCTCTTTTCCCATGGTTTTCACCTAGTTTTCCATGGTTTTCACCCATTTTTCCATGTTTTCCTGCCTTTTTCCCATATTTTTGACCATTCCCCCCTGTTTTCCAGGCCCTTTCTCATCCCTATCTCCCAGTTCTCCATCACCTCTTCCATCTCTTTTTCTCATGGTTTCCACCCAGTTTTCCATGGTTTTCAACCTTTTTTTCATGGTTTTCACCCAATTTTCCATGGTTTTCACACAGTTTTCAATGGTTTTCACACAGTTTTCCATGGTTTTCACACAGTTTTCCATGTTTTCCTTCCTTTTTCCGAATATTTTTGGCCAGTTTCCCTATTTTCCAGACCCTTTCTCATCCCTATCTCCCAGTTCTCCATCACCTCTTCCATCTCTTTTCCCCCACATTTTTCACCCAATTTTCCATGGTTTTCACCCAGTTTCTGTTGGTTTTAATTCCAGTTTTCCACGGTTCTCAACCTGTTTTCCATGTTTTCCTGCCCTTTCCCAATGTTTTTTGACCATTTTCACCTATTTTTCTGATGCTTTCGCATCCCTATCTCTCAGGTTTCCATTACCTCTTCCATCTCTTTTTCCCAGGTTTTTCACTCAATTTCCCACGGTTTCCACCCAGTTTTCCATGGTTTTCAACCTTTTTTCCATGGTTTTCACCCAATTTCCCATGGTTTCCACCCAGTTTTCCATGGTTTTCAACCTTTTTTCCATGGTTTTCACCCAATTTCCCCTATTTTTGGCCATTCTTTCCTATTTTCCAGACCCTTTCTCATCCCTATCTCCCAGTTCTCCATCACCTCTTCCATCCTTTTTTTCCCACATTTTCCACTCAATTTTCCTGCCACTTTTCCCTATTTTCCAACCTTTTTTCTCATATTTTGGGATTTTTACCCCTTCTTTCCCACATTTCCCCACGTTTTTTACACATTTTTTCATATTTTTCTGTGTTTTTTCCATGTTTTTTTCATCCTTTTCTCCCTATTTTCCAGACTCTTTTCCACCCCCTTTTTCCCATGTTTTCCACCCAGTTTTCCAGTCACTTTTCCATGGTTTTCAACCTTTTTTTGCCGTATTTTTCCATTTTTTCACCACAATTTTAGGCCATTTTCCCTCAATTTTTCAGACCCTTTCTCATCCCTATCCCCCAGTTCTCCTTCTTCCATCCCTTTTTTCCACATTTTCCAAGCACTTTTCCCAGTTTTCCAGCCGTTTTTCCATGGTTTTCAGCCTTTTTTCCATATTTTTTGCCCTTTTCTCTGTATGTTCCACACCATTTTCCATCCCTGTCTCCCAGTTCTCCAGCCCATTTTCCATCCCTTTTTCCATGATTTCCTGCCACTTTTCCCTGGTTTTTTTAGCCACTTTTCCATGGTTTTTTGCCTCTTTTTCCCTTGTTTTTTCAGCCTTTTTCCAACCCTTTTTCCCTGTTTCGAGCCTCTTTTCTACATTTTCCAACCATTTTTTCACATTTTCCATCACCTTTTCCGCATTTTCCGTTCCCTTTTCCATATTTTCCCATCTTCCCATCCTCTTTTCCACATTGTCTGTCACATTTTCCATATTTTTCAGACCCTTTTCCACATTTTCCATCCGTTTGTTTTTAACTTTTTCCACCCACGTTTCCACATTTTCCACCTGTTTTCTTCACATTTTCCACCCATTTTTTCACATTTCCTGTCCTCTTTTCCATATTTTTCATCCCCTTTTTCAAATTTCCCACCCATTTTCCACATTTTCCACCTGTTTTTCCCCATTCCCCACCTGTTTTTCACATTTCCCACCCATTTTTCCACATTTCCCACCTGTTTTTTTACCTTTTCCATCCCCTTTTCCACATTTTCCACCTGTTTTTCCACATCTCCCATCCCCTTTTCCATATTTTTCATACCCTTTTCCCCATTTCCCACCTGGTTTTCCCCATTTCCCACCTGTTTTTTCACATTTCCCATCCTCTTTTCCACATTTTTCATCCCCTTTTCCACATTTCCCTCCCATTTTTCCACATTTTCCACCCGTTTTTTCCCATTTTATCCCCTTTTTCCACATTTCCCACCCATTTTTCCCCATTTCCCACCCATTTTTTCACATTTCCCATCCTCTTTTCCACATTTTTCATCCCCTTTTCCACATTTCCCTCCCATTTTTCCACATTTCCCACCCGTTTTTCCCCATTTCCCATCCTCTTTTCCACATTTTCCATTCCTTTTTCCATTTTCCCCCCCGTTTTTCCCCATTTCCCACACATTTTTTCACATTTCCCATCCTCTTTTCCACATTTCCCTCCCATTTTTCCACATTTCCCACCCGTTTTTCCCCATTTCCCATCCTCTTTTCCACATTTTCCATTCCTTTTTCCATTTTCCCCCCCGTTTTTCCCCATTTCCCACACCTTTTTTCACATTTCCCATCCTCTTTTCCACATCTTCCATCCCCTTTTCCACATTTCCCTCCCATTTTTCCACATTTTCCACCCGTTTTTTCCCATTTTATCCCCTTTTTCCACATTTCCCACCCATTTTTCCCCATTTCCCACACATTTTTTCACATTTCCCATCCTCTTTTCCACATTTCCCTCCCATTTTTCCACATTTTCCACCCGGTTTTTCTCATTTTATCCCCTTTTTCCCCATTTCCCACCCGTTTTTCCCCATTTCCCATCCTCTTTTCCCCATTTCCCATCCTCTTTTTCCCATTTCCCACACATTTTTCCACATTTTCCACCCCTCTTTCCCATTCCCCCCCCGTTTCTCCCCCCCCCCCCCCATTTTTGGGGCTAAAATCACCGATAAACCAGGATCTCGTCGGCCGAGCTGTTGTACTGGATCTGGTACATCCTCAGCCCCTGCAGCTCCTCCTGCGGCGGCCACCGCACCAAGGCCGACGTCGCCGTCACCTCGGCCACCACCACCCCGCCCCTGTCCCCCCTCTCCAGCCTGGAGTCGTTGGAAAAGCTGGATTTGGCCGAAATCAGGATATCCGACGGCTCCGGCCGAGCCGTGCCCGCCTTCTTGCCCTCCTCCTCCTCCTCGCACTCGGTGCCGTTGCCCTCCGGCGTCACCCGGAACTCCACGGGCGCCGTCGACTCGCCGGCGGCGTTGGAGGCGATGCACGTGAAGGTTCCCTGGTCCCCCAGCGCCGCCTCCAAGATATCCAAGGTCCCGTTCTCGTAGGAAACCGTCCTGGAGGTGTTGGCCACCAACTTGCCGTCGGGGGCGATCCACCGCACGTAGGGCTCGGGGTCGCCCACGGCCTTGCACTTGAGCGAGGCGCTGCGGCCCACGGCCGTCACCAGCCGGGGCGTGCGGTGCGTGATCATGGGCGGCTCGCAGACGAACTCCTCCTCGCGGATGCTCCAGAAGTATTTGCCCATCAGCTCGGGCGGCGAGGCGCAGGTCTCCAGGTCGTCCTCGCGCGTCAGCCGCCGCAGCCACACCAGCTCGCAGTTGCAGTGCAGGGGGTTGCCGCCGAAGCTCAGCACCAGCGAGGTCAGCGGGGAGCCTTTGGATTTGGCGTAGACGGGGATGCGCGAGAAGAGCGGGTCCGGCGGGATCTTCTTCAGCTTGTTGGACGTCATGTCCAACCTGGCCAGCTTGTGGAGGTTGGAGAAAATCCCCTCGGGCACGAACTCGATCAGGTTGTGATCCAAACTCACCGTGTTGACGTTGGACAGCTTGGCCACCGTCGCCCACGGCACATCCACCAGATTATTGTAGGACAAATCCAAATCCTCGATGGTCTCCAAGAAATCGTCCAGCGACCCGGGCGAGATGGAGCTCAGCTGGTTGTTACTCAGGATCAGGTGCCGCAGGTTGACCAAGCCCTTGAAGTGGTCCTCGGCGATGGCCGTCAGGCGGTTGCTGTCCAGGTGCAGCGCGTGCAGGCCGCGCAGGTCGGCGAAGGCGTACGGCATGATCTGGCTGATGGTGTTGCGCGACAGCGTCAGGTGGATGAGCTGCGTCATGTTGGCGAAGTCGCGCCGGCGCAGCACGGTGATGAAGTTGTCCATGAGGCGCAGCTCGGCCGTGCGCCGGTCGATGCCGGGCGGCACGAAGAGCAGCCCGGTCTTGGTGCACAGGATGGTGAAGGAGGGCGAGAGGTTCTGGCACGAGCAGCGCTTGGGGCAGGGCGGCGCGGCCGGGGCGCTGGCGGTCACCGAGAGGAGCAGAGGCAGCAGCAGCCTGTCCATCGTCGGGGGAACGGGAAGCTGCGGGGGAAGGGGGAACGGGGTCAGGCGCGGGGGTTTGGGGTGAAAAGTTTGAGTTTTGGGGTGAAAAATCTGAGTTTTGGGGTTAAAAGTGAGGTTTGGGGTGAAAAATCAGAGTTTTGGGGTTAAAAAAACTGAGTTTTGGGGTTAAAAGTGAGGTTTGGGGTGAAAAGTTTGAGTTTTGGGGTTAAAAATTTGAGTTTTGGGGTTAAAAGTGAGGTTTGGGGTGAAAAGTTTGAGTTTTGGGGTGAAAAGTTTGAGTTTAGGGGTTAAAAGTTTGAGTTTTGGGGTTAAAATTTTGAGTTTTGGGGTTAAAAGTGAGGTTTGGGGTTAAAAATCTGAGTTTTGGGGTTAAAAGTTTGAGTTTTGGGGTTAAAAGTTTGAGTTTTGGGGTTAAAAGTGAGGTTTGGGGTGAAAAGTTTGAGTTTTGGGGTTAAAATTTGAGTTTAGGGGCAGGATTCCAGCCCAAGAGGTTGAGGAACTTCAGCTGAGAGGGAAATCCCAAATCTAAGGAGGAAAAGTGGGATGGAGATGGAGAAAAATGGGAGAAATCCATGGAAATGTGGTGGAATTAGAAAAAAAAAATAAAAACAAGAGAAAATTTGGAGATTCTGTGGAGTTTTAGGGTTAAAACTGAGTTTTAATTCCAAGATGTTGAGAAAAATCCATGGAGAGGAAATCCCAAATCTGAGAAGGAAAAACGGGAGAAATCCATGGAAATGTGGTGGATTTGGAGAAAAATGGGAGAAATCCATGGAAATGTGGTTGAATTTGGAAAAATAATGGAGGAATTTGGGAGATTTGGTTGAGTTTTGGGGTTAAAACTGAGTTTAGGGTCAAGATTCCAGCCCAAAATGTTGAGGAAGTTCAGCTGAGAGAGAAATCCCAAATCTGAGAGAGAAAAATGGGGAAAATCCATGGAAATGTGGTGGAATTATGGAAAAAAATGGGATGAAATCCATGAAAAAATGGAGGAATTTCAGAAAAATGGGGAGAAATCCGTGAAAATATGGAGGAATTTGGGGAAAAAATGGGATTAAATCCAGAAAATGTGGAGGAATTTGGGAAAAATGGGATTAAATCCATGAAAATATGGAGGAATTTGGGAAAAAATGGGATTAAATCCAGAAAATATGGAGGAATTTGGGAAAAATGGGGAGAAATCTGGGGGGAAATGGAGGAATTTGGGAAAAATTGGGATAAAATCCAGAAAATATGGAGGAATTTGGGGAAAATGGGGAGAAATCCATGAAAATATGGAGGAATTTGGGAAAAAATGGGATTAAATCCAGAAAATATGGAGGAATTTGGGATAAATCTGTGAGAAAGTGGCAGAATTTGGGATAAAAGCAGGTTTAGGATCAAGTTGTAATTGTAAGATGTTGAGAAAATCCCAAATTTGAGAGGGAAAAATGGGAGAAATCCATGGAAATGTGGATTAATTTGGGGAAAAATGGGAGAAATCCATGGAAATGTGGATTAATTTGGGAAAAAATGGGAGAAATCCATGGAAATGTGGATTAATTTGGGAAAAAATGGGAGAAATCCATGGAAATGTGGATTAATTTGGGAAAAAATGGGAGAAATCCATGGAAAAATGGGGAGAAATTGTTGTTATTATTCCAGGGATTTTTTTGGGATGATTTTCCCATGGATTGGGTGAGGTTTTATTGGGATTTTGGGATTTTTTGGGGGGGATTCTTGAGATGATTTTCCCACAATTTTGGGGTTTTTTTTTAATGGATGATTTTCCCAAATATTTTCAATTTTTAAAATTATTTTCCTATATTTTTTGGGGTTTGGGATGATTTTCCAATGGATTTTCCCAATAATTGTTTGGGAGGAATTTGATTAAAATTTGAATAAATTTAAACAATTTTAAAATTCTAATTAAAATGAGAATAAATCAAAATATTAAACATTAATAAATGGAATAATAATGAATTTCAAATTAAAAATAATTCAAAAGAATGGAATTCAAAGAATTCATTAAAATAATTAATAATTAAAAATTAAGGTCAATTCAGAACTAGAAGGAATTTAAAAGGAAATGAAAAATAATGACATTAAAATAAAGATGATGGGAATAAAGTAATTGAAATTAAATAATTAAAACAATTCAAATAAAAATAATAAAATTATTAAAAATATTAAAATGACAATAATAAAAATTACAATATTGAAAATTAAAATAATAGAAATAAAAGAATGAATTTAAAATATGAATGCATTGAAAAAAGTCATTAAAAATGATGAAAATAATAATTTAAAATTGAATTGATAAAAAATTAATGAGAATAAATTCAGAATAATAATGGTAAAATGTAAAATTATAATTTTCAAATTAGAATTAATAATCAATTCAAAATAAACATAAATTTAAAATAATGATAATAATAATCCCCTAAAAATAAAAATAAATTATTAGAATAAACTTTAAAATAGTAATTGCAATGAATAAGAGAATAAATTTAAAATAAAAATTAATTGAAATTAATAATAATAATTAATAAACAAAATTAATAAGTGGAAAAAATAAGAATTAAAATAAGAGGAATAAAATTATTTCTAATTAAAATAATAGAATTTATTATAATTAATATTACCTAGAATAATATAAATTAAACCAATTATTACATAAATCCTATTAATTAGGACAAAGAAGTAATTAATAAAAACGAATTAAAGTTAAAACTAATTCAAACCTCCCTGAAATCCCTGGGAATTTCCCTTTATCCCAAAATCCCCTGGACTCAAATTCCTGGGAATTTTTCCTGTCCCAAAAATCCTCTGGGCTGAGGAAAATTCGGCTTTTCCTGAATTTCCCAGAGAATTCCAAGGAAAAATGTTGGGAATTGGGATGGGCCAGGCCTGAAATCCTCAAAATTCCCAAAAATCTTGAGGAAAAAGTGGGATTTGAGCAGGGCCAGGCCCAAAATTCCAAGATTTTAGGGGGGAAAATGGGATTTGGGGTAGGCCAGGCCCAAAATTCCCAAAATTCCCGAGGGAAAAGTTGGAAAGGGGCAAGTGCTGAACCCAAAATTCCAAGATTTTGGAGGGAAAAGTGGGAACTGGGGGGTACAAGGCACAAAATTCCCAAAATTCCTGAGGGAAAAGTGGAATTTGAGCAGGGCAGGCCTGAAATTCCAAGATTTTAGGGGGAAAATGGGATTTGGGGTAGGCCAGGCCCAAAATTCCCAAAATTCCTGAGGGAAAAGTTGGAAAGAGGGAAGTGCTGAACACAGAATTCCAAGGTTTTGGAGGAAAAAGTGGGATTTGGGGTGTTCCAGGCCCAAAATTCCCAAGGAAAAGTGGGATTTGGGCAGGGCCAGGCCCGAAGTTCCAAGATTTTAGGGGAAAAATGGGATTTGGGGTGTTCCAGGCCCAAAATTCCCAAAATTCCTGAGGGAAAAGCAGGAAAGAGGGAAGTACTGAACACAGAATTCCAAGGTTTTAGGGGAAAAAAGTGGGATTTGGGATGTTCCAGGCACAAATTTGCCAAAATTCCCGAGGGAAAAGTGGAATTTGAGCAGGGCCAGGCCCCAAGTTCCAAGATTTTAGGAGGAAAATGGGATTTGGGGTAGGCCAGGCTGAAAATTCCCAGAATTCCTGAGGGAAAAGTGGGATTTGGGCAGGCCCAGGGCAGAAATTCCAAGATTTCTGAGGGAAAATTGGGAATTGGGCAGGGCTAGGCCCAAAATTCCAAGATTTTAGGGGAAAAAAAGTGGGATTTGGGGTAGGCCAAGCTCTAAAATCCCAGGATTTGAGGGGGGAAAATGGGATTTGGGGTGATCCAGGCCCAAAATTCCCAAAATTCCTGAGGGAAAAGTGGGAAAGATGAAAGTGCTGAACACAGAATTCCAAGGTTTTGGAGGAAAAAGTGGGAACTGGGGGGTACAAGGCACAAAATTCCAAGATTTTAGGGGAAAAAAGGAGGATTTGGGGTAGGCCGAAGTGAAACTTCCTAAAATTCCTGAGGGAAAAGTTGGAAAGAGGGAAGTGCTGAACACAAAATTCCAAGGTTTTAGGGGGAAAAATGGGAATTGGGAAATGCCAGGCCCAAAATTCCCAAAAATCCTGAGGGAGAAGTTGGAACTGGGCAGGGCCAGGCCCAAAATTCCAAGATTTTGGAGGGATTTTCCAGGAAAAAAAAGATGGAGCAACCCAGGAATGTTTCATTTTAAAGGTCAAAACACCTCCAAAATCCCATTTTTCCTTAAAAAAACAGGATTTTCCTTCAGAAAAAAAGCAAAATTTTCAGGCTCTAGCCACCAAATCCCCCTCGGGGCTGCAGAATTCCCGGGAAAAATGAAAATATTGGAATTCCGGGCTGGTTTAGAGTGAAAAATCTGATTTTTTAAATAGGGAAAATCCACATTTTTATCCCGATTTTCCTCGGGAATAAATTCCCGGTGGGAATCCTCAATGCCAGCGCCGTGCCTTGTCCCCTGGGGGTGGGGATTTGGGGAAAAAAATGGGATTTTTGGGGGGATTTGAGGGGTTTTTTAAAGGATTTTAGGGGTGAGAATTCCAAGCGCGGCGCCGCCGCAACGCGGGAAGGACGCGCCCTGCTCGGGAAAAAAAAAATCGGGAATTGCAGGTGCCGGGAGGGGGAAAAAACCGGGAAAAACCGGGGAAAACCGCGGGAAAATGGAAATATAAACCCGCCAAAGTGCGGGTTTTAGCACGGATTTGGGGGGGAAATTGGGGAAAAAATTGGGAAAATCCCAGGAATGGGGGGAGGGGAGGGAAAAGCGCCGGGAACACCTGGAAAAGGCACACCTGGAGCAGCCCCACCTGGATGACACGGCGGATTTATGGCAGGCGGCGAGGGCTTGGAACCACCCCGAAAAACCCCCAAAATCCCCAAAATTCCCCGGAAAACCCCAAAACCCCCAAGGTTTGGAGGCGCCCTCGGTTTTTCCAGGGAAGGGTTAAAAAAGCTGGAAAATTTGGGAGGGGTCGCCGCTGGAAAAGCCGGGGGGGGTGCGGTTTATCCCGATTTTATCCCGATTTTATCCCGATTTTATCCCGATTTATCCCCATTTTACCCCTCACTTCACCCCATTTTTCCCCCATTTTATCCCATTTTTCCCCCATTTTATCCCGATTTCCGCTGGTTTATCCCGTTCCATCCCGATTTTAACCCGATTTATCCCGTTTTTTCGCCGTTTCGCCCCAATTTTTCGCCGTCCCGCCCCGTTTTTCCCGGTTTTTCCCGGTTTTTTCCCCGATTTTCCCCCATTTTTCACTCACCTTTCCCGCCGAGCCTTCAGGGGGGCGGCGACCCCCGCGCCCCCCCCGGGGGTCCCGAGCCTTCCATGGCCGGGAGCGATCCCGGGAGGAGGAGCGGGAAAAAAAAAAAAAAAGCAGGAAAAAAGCAGGAAAAAGCAGGAAAAAAGCAGAAAAAAGCAGAAAAAAAAGCAGGGGAGGGGCGGGAGAAGGGGGAGGGGCGGGGGGAGGGGCCCCCGGTGGGAATTTTGGGAATTTTCGGGGTGGTTTTTTTGGGATGGGAGCGGCGGGTTTTTTTGGGAATTTCGGGGGCTGGGGGTTCGGGTGGATTTGAGGGGTTTGTCCCAATCCCTGGATTCCTGAACCCAAAAAATCCCGGGATTTCGTCGCCGTCCCTGCAGGAATTCCCGGATCCCTGAGTCCTCAAATTCCTGAACCCCCAAATTCCTGAATTCCCGCATTCCTAAATTCCCCTAAATTCCCATTCCTTCAATTCCTGAATCTCTGAATTCCCAAATCCCTCAATCCCTGAATTCCTGAATCCCCGAATTCCATCTCCTTCCCTGAATCCCCAAATTCCTAAAGTCCTAAATTCCCGAATTCCCAAATTCCCGAATCCCTGAATTCCCGAATTCGATCCCATTCCTTGGATCCTTGAATCCCTGAATCCCCAAATCCCTGAATTCCTGAATCTACAAAATCCTGGGGTTTCACCACCTTCCCAAAATCCCAGCCCTCCTGGAATTCCTGGATCCCTGAATCCCTGAATTCCCAAATCCCTGAATTCACAAATCCCCGAATTTCTGAATTCTCAAATCCCCGAATTCCTAAATTCCTGGATCCCCAAATTCCCGACTCCCCAGATTCCTAAATTCCTGGATCCCTGAATTCCAAAATTCCTGAATTCCTGGATCCCTGAATTCCCAAATTCCATCCCAAATCCCTGAATCCCCAAATTCCCCAATCCCCGAATTCCCAAATCCCTCAACCCTCCCCCATTCCATAAATCCCATCCCCCCCCAAATCCCACTCCCGGCACCCCCCACTGTCCCCAAAATGTCCCCAAAATGTCCCCACCCCCGCATTGTCCCCAGTGCCACCCCCCAGTCCCCAGGTGTCCCCAAATGTCCCCAAGTGTCCCCTCCCCCCACTGAGAGAGAAATCCCAAATCTG